AGTTGCTGTCAAGCTGATTAAACTCCTAGCAACCTGGTAGGATTGAGTAGAACTGTGCACAGGGGGTGGGGGCTGTAACCTCCGCAGAGACAGAGTACCACCTCTTTCTCCAATAACCACTGTTTTTAAAGTTCCTTGCCAAACTGATCCTTGAATGGGCACCGGGTCATTTACCAAGGTAACAAGTCAATCTATTGGAAGCGATGCTTTAAATGTCTCAATACCCTGGATTGTCTCAAGAAGAGGTACTTGCATGTCCGTGTGGCACCCAAAACTGAGGCCCAGAGTCTTGGGCATTCATTTTTCCTACTGCCCATTATCATACAACTTCCTCTTGGCAAACCAGGAGGGCAATTGTATCTGTGTGTGTTATCAAGCCACAGGGAGAAGCAGGACATGGCGGGACCGTGGTGGGGGTGCCTCAAGGTCCTTCCTAGGACACTTTGCTCCCAGGCTCCGCCCTTCAAGTCTACGATTGGGCTTTTGCAGGTCTAACACTTGCAGCAATCTCAGAAAATGCACCTGTCCCATGGAGCCTGCTGCAACAGGCAGCATTTCCCCCAAACCGTTTCCTTCCTTCCCTCCAGCAGCACTGGCTTGTCAGGTGAGGACTGCCCGAGACTAAACCAGGCAGATGGTCTCTGTAAGATGTCTGGATTGGGGCCAGGCAGACCTGTCAGTCAGCTGCGAGGAGATGAGCTAGAAGGTTCTCTAAGGTCTGGTGCAGGGCCACCAGGTAGAATTGTTGTAATGGAGTCGCATGCAGTATAAAAGAAGGCAAGAATAAAGCCCCTTAGCCATCAGGAGAGAAGCAGGGGACAGAAAGGCCAACAGAAACAGAGCCAGAAAAAGGAATTCATTGTTAAATAATTTGGGGTGGGGGGCAGGACGGGTGTGTGTGTTCCATGAGATCTAGTTACCTCCTCTGAATTTTTAAAAATTGTTTTATCCCATTATTAATTCCCTTTTAACCTGAGTTTTTAAAGTGCACTTCTGTGCCTTATAACCAAATGGGTTCTTGTGAAAGTTTTCATCCATGGAACACTGGCACTTGCTGCAACTTGGGGGCCCAGCTGCAATTCAGCAGTAATCCGCTAGTCAATCAATGTTTGAATATCTACGAGGTACCATCACCCC